ATTGGTTAAAGCAACAGTACGGAACGCTGTGTTGGTCGTAATATTTTGCAATTTGTAATCGATGTTTATTTATGTAGTGCCATCATCTGCAATAACATAGCAGAGAAAAATGTTAAGGTTTTCAATCTGTGTGACTAAGAACTAGTAATATTTACAGTGTGCGTGTCAGGCCTCGACTATCCTCTACTAGCTTAGCTTCTAGCATACTCTCCAAGGCGTCTTCTTCAAAATTTCGAGCTTTTTTTTAATAAACACAAACTAACTTTAATTTCTCGCGCCCTAAGATTTGACCTTTTTGCCTCATAATCCGTATTACAACCCTGTGTGCTAACTAGACCAATGAGGTAGTAAATAATCTATATATGTGTTATATATGACGTTATTTGATACTTCCTATTGATTAACTCGTATCAAGATGTAACTATTATCTCATATTCTAGTGATAATTGATACATTATCTCTAAGTATGTTTATAAGTACATATTAAGTGTATACATATACATACCGGCACTGTGATTAACACTAAGACAAATGATAGGGCGATGTGCTCCTAGTTTAGAGTCTAATAGATAAACTCTTATAATCCGGCTTTAATAATATTTAACATTAAAAAACTGTATAATTTAAAAAAATGGAAATAAATTGAAAAATCTTCGACTCGGACAGGACTTGGTAGCTCAATTGGTTAGAGCAACCCGACCCGACGTTTAAGCTGCTTTGGTCACGTGACCACGGCTACTATAATTTTCAAATAATTTTAAATAATATATATCGCGTTTCAAACCGTTTCAGTGTTTCATATAAATGTATAGGGGAGAGTTGGATAATACCGAGCCCCTAAGGAATTTCACCTATAATTAGAAAACTGTTTGATATTAAAAGTTTTTTTTTTATATTATTAGAACATTTGTTCAGGTACGCATACCTTATAATAAGAACTTCAAAATTTCAAACCAAAACAAATTATCGTCAATTTACAAAAATAACTTAAGGCGCGGTATTGTCAAACTGGTCGGATAATATCGTGCCCAGGTTTGATAAAATCGTGCCAATATTAATTGCACTCAAATGGGTAGATAACAGATCAGTCTCAAAATACCTCACGTCAATAAAATATTATACGGCAAGTTAAATTAATCACTGCAAAAATCACATATAAAATTATTGGCAGAATCGGCGCGGAATTATCCAACTTGATCATTTTATTTTTTAACCTCAAAATTATGGAAAAATATTATAAAACGTAAAAACCTACTTTGACATTAATTCTACAATACACAAGCATCCAAAAAGTATAGTATCAAAGTATTACAATATAAATACAGTATTACTTACCTCTTAACGAAAGTATACGAAAAATTATAAGGAATGACAAAAAAAGCTTCTGGATCGCATACTGTCTACATCGTCGCGGGGACCGTAATGGCCCTGCACAGGGGAGGGTGTTGGCATGTCCGGCTTCGATGAATACGCACTACAGCACAAACTAGTAAATAGTTTTTGAATTATTCTAAAGCGCGGAGTTATCAATCGCGCGGTACTATCCAACTCTCCCCTACTACTCGCGTAAACTACAGTAAGTATTTAATTTGTTAATTTTCATTAATTCAAACCAAACTCTTTCTTTGCGTTAGTGCATATAAAAATGTCTGCCTGCAGTGATAAAAAATATTGCCCAGTTCAATCACATAAGATCACTCATACATTGTTTGCTTGTATGTATTGTATTAATCTCTATGCACGTGCAGACAATGTAACTCACGTTTTATTAATTGTAATATAATCTTCTATTTAAAACATGTACCATTGTACTCTACTGTTAGTAACTGCGTGTACTTAATGTCATCTAGTATCGATGACTAGATCTGCCCGAGGCATTGCCCACGTTGGAATATTATAAGGACTATAACGTCCGCGTTTTGTGTCTTTATCGTATTAAAAACCTGGAATCCTAAATACTGTCTGTAGTTTACGCGAGTAGTACACATGTTAATAGAACACTTTAACGGTTTAAAACGAGATACATTCTAGTTAAACTTGTTTGAAAATTAATTTTAACTACGGTCCGACGTTTCGGATGCATGCGGGTCACGGACACGAGGGCGGAGTCTGGGACCTTATATTAAAACCCTAAAACGGCGCACTGATAAACAAGAGGATAGTGAGTGTGTCAGTTCAGACACAGGTAGTTTCTCTAAACATCAATTTCGAGGAAACAGTTAAGATATCTATATAAGTAGTCGGTACGTATATGTAATACATACAGTAAGTGATCTTTATTTATTATTCGTCTAAGCTACAACACACCTTACATTATTCATTGATTTAACAGAGTTAAAAGCCCTAACAGGCATTTGTCACGTGCAAAAACACGTTTTCGTTTCCAATTAAAACATACTTCATGATTTAAGTAAATAAAAATCTGTCTTTAGCCATTATTGTATCAACGTAATCAAAAATATAATATAATATATCATATATTATTATAAAATGTATATATACATATATATATATATAAAAGCTTAATTCTTTATCACATGTTATTCTCCTGTGAAGGTGTAAATAAAAAATCCATTTAGATTTTAAAAAATTACGACACGGGCTGGATCGTTCCGTGCTGCTTCTCTAACCAATTGAGCTAGCGCGTCAAATGACACGGTAGCTTAATTGTATTTTTTTTTAATCTAAATACATTTTTAATATTATTTCGATTTTGAAGGCATTATAGAATTTATTTTAGTATAACAGCCCGTAAAAGGATTGTCGAGTTTTTGTTATCTGCCCATTTATAATGACATCAGCAATCTTTTTCGATAGATGAATTCATCAGTCAACAAATCTAATTGACACCTCGAGTACAGAATAAATACTTGATTCGAGTATAATATACTATCTTATATTGAAGTACCATCTAATCATTTTTAAATGAATTAAAAAATATTATCTAATATATTTCGCTTTTCAAACCGTTAAATGAGTTTTATTTAAATATGTACTAGTCGTGTAAACTATAGACAATACATATAACAATATTTTTAATAATATCTTTGATTAATACAAGTAGATACCTAAAGGTTACAAACATAAGTAAGACATTTATTTAATCTCAAACATATAAAAACTATTTTATTATGATAACGCATTTTTTTAAACTTATATATGGCAAACGGCGACTTCCAAAGACTTAGGTCCTCCCACAGATAAAAATTGGCAAAGCCAAGAAGGAAATTCTTTCAGTTTCCATTTGAGGCTAAGAATTAATGAAGCAGCTAATATAATCTGTGGTTAAATACAGGCTGTTACGTACAACTTTCTGTTCTTGCGGTGTTGCTATAAATAGAACCCGTATAATGAGCTCGTGTAGATTTCGAACTGGTAATACAAGGAATAAATTACCCTCATGTTTGTTAACGTAAATACAAGTTTAGTCAATGAAAGTTTAATACAATTATTTTGACGGGGACTTTGGTCCCATGGTAGCATGCCTTAACAAAAGTTAAGTCCAGCGTGTATTTCAATATTTTTATAAAAACATATTGGGTCTCGATAGCTCAATTGCTTAGAGCAACAGCACGGAACGCTGACGATGCCGGCTCAAGTCCTGCCCGAGACGATTTTTTTTTTTTTAATATTTTCGATTTTTAATAAATATAGTGCCATCGTGTGCAATAACATGTCAAAAATAATAAAGTTTTGAAATATAAATATGTATTTAAATACTTAAAATTTTTGATTTAATTATTAAAATTTATTCTCTCTTATTATTATTTGCGTTTTCAATGTAATTGCACTATTGTAGTGTTTTTACTCAAACATATTGTTCATTTAAATGCAGAAATTGAATGCTTAGTATTCATACGATAACAATAATTACCCTTTATTATCAGACAGTATTTTTAGTTTAATTGTAATAAGAAGTGTAATAAAATGTCTAGAATGTTCGTCGTGTCCTTGAGTAAATGAAAATTATAAATCAAAATGCACTTCACATTTTGGTTTAAATCTACGTGCGCAGATACCGAAGTTAGACATAAATTCGATTCTAAATTTCGCGTATTGAAAATCCCTTGCTTTATACGTTCCGTAAAATTAATCTGTAGTTTAAATATAGTTTTACCATTTTTTTGCTTGGACCAACGCAAGATGTACGTTTCCATGACGACGTCTCTAAAACAGAACTATTAAGTTTTAAATTTTCTCACTAATGATCTATATAGAAAAAGTAATATTTCCTGTCTTGGAACATATAGAACTATATTCTAAACACCTATTATTATTACAAGTTTACAACCACACGTTTCTCTATGTAAAAATGTCGTTAAATAGATGATGTAACACATTTACAAAGCTACGTATTTCACATATCATTATGTAAATGTATAAATAAAAATGGTAAATGGTAATAAATAAAAAATATGTATTACCTTTCATTAGTATTCTATATTTATAATAGAGTTGTTTAATTGATTTGTTGAGGTAAACTGCTTGGAATACGTTACGGATGAGCAATAACTTCTTTAAGTTCCTAACTTTTTTCAAATTATAATTAAAAATATATAATGTGAAAAAAACAAAAGTAATATTCGTATTTTTAATGTTTTACGTTGTACGTTTATTTTATTAAGATGAATTTAAGTCGAAGGCTTTGGATATTCGAAAATCCACAGACTGAAATGAAAACGGGAATCAACTTCACGGCTCTTTCATCTGTGTTATTTCCATATTCCTCCCTTTAATTAATTATCGAGATTTCCAGACTGTCTTCGTCTGGAAATCTGGATAATAAATCGGGGGAATTGATTTAGGAAAATTATAAATTGATTAGAAACATTTGAGAGTTGAATCTGGTGGGAATCAAAGCCACAATCAGTTGATTATTAGCCATACCACCATTACACCATTGAGCTGGTCAAAAAGCCTAATAAGTTTATCGTTATAAAACCGATCAAAGGAATATGCCCATTTTAGTCCATAAACTTTGAACTATTATTTGTTTACAGTCCAATCATCAAGCCTGCTATGCGGACGCGTAAAGGAGGTTGAACTGGGGGGAAGCGCCGGCGCAGGATCTGCGTTGGCTCTCACCCTCGTTCGCCCCGCGACGTCTACCTCCACTGCCCCCTGTCAGCTGCGGCTGACAGCACCAGATGCAGCTGCCTTTACCCTGCGTCTTATTGACGTTAAGGTGAGTCTCTCTATTCATCCAAACTAATGAATATAGCGTTTTTTTTTCATACTGGACTTAAGTTAGCGGCCGGAGCGTTAACGCGTATGGCGAAACCGGCCCTTAAGAACTCACTCACACATTTTGTTATTTTACCATGACATATAATCATATAAGTTGTGCGTTAGAAGTTGTAAGTATTCAAAATAGATCGGTCACATTTATGAATATTGAATATTTTTGCTGACAATCTACTGATGACTTGCAATGTGATCCTTCGTGTCCTAAATGATGACGAGGGGTCTGCAGACACCTGTATAGGTTTCGTTTGTGATTAGATTAGGGATGTCTACAACGCCCTACAAAGAATAAATACTTTTGCTTTGTGAACCTTCCATTTCCTAAAAATTCCATTCGGCGAATAGACTCGGAGTCTCAAGCTCAAGTTACTCTTTTATGGTAGAGGACGAACAGTGATATACCACAGCCATACAACATCTGCGTTGTCGACTTGAAGAGTACCCAGGAAGTTCCTTATTTTATGAATAACAAACGATTTATGGAGTAAATTTAGTATAACTTCCTCTATGGCGACTTGCCAATTAAATTTCTTTGTTATCTTACGCATACATCATTGTAGGCCAATAACTTTACTGGTTACAGTCCGTCAATAAGAAAGTGTTGTCTGTACGCAAGTAGTACAATTTTAAATAATTACTTATATATGTCGTGTTTTAAACCGTTAAACAGTGTTCTATTCAAGGTTTCTTATTAAAAATTGATATTTGAAGCAACATCGAATATAACTGGATTAAATTTAGTAAATAGAAGTCACATTTAATAAGCATACTTACGATTATGCAAAAACATAGTGCCTAGTATAGTATAATTTTGTTACATTGAACTTATAGCGTTAAGCGAGAGGTAGTGTGTTTGAATTCAAGGAAAACGGTCGAACGGCCATTAATTTTAATTAGTGGAATAAAAAACACTGAAATCGTGTATACCCCATGTCCCACTCGTGGAAATGGGATTACACAATTATACATTGGGACAGTAAATTTTGATATTCACGACGATAGACCTATGATTAGCTGTAGCTAAAGCTAAAAATATCCTCAAAGTAATATAACTATTAATATCTTATTTATGTTCGTCTATTTATAAGCATAAGGATCTAGAAGGTTCTATAGAACAGGTTATAGGAATCCATTGATCTTGCACAATGGGTTGGCCATTGTGGCAACTAGGTGAAGGTAGGAGCGGAATCGCGCCAATCACTTAGGCACGTAAAGCCGGCGCTTTGTCCTTTATACTTATGTTACTATATTGACGTGTGAATTGCACTGTTTTATTATTACTGCAGAGGCCGGTAAGACAGGCATTGATGGACGATACGTAAGTAGTACCGGTACCGCTCGGTAGTTTTCTACTCGCCAAAGTATTTTTCTCACTAAAAATCTACCAGTTCGAAATTTAAATTAAACCTTTGATAAATTACCCCTTCGTTCGCCATGTTACGGAGTAGATCGTTCCATTTTTAAATAACGCGACAATTATGATTTTAGATAGTAATTTATTTGGAGTATTATTGTGCTTATTATAAGTCATATTAATTCCCACCGTTGGGACTCCAGCCTCTTACGTGACGTCTATGACGGTCTTCTCATGCTGTTACCATATAGCATTTTGTAAGCTATAATTATATAAGTCTATACTTAAATTTCTTAATAAAAATTAATTTATAACATTTAAAAGTTAATTTAATAGCGCGGTTTAAAATTGGAATGTATTTACGTACTATAAATTATTTAAACAATATAATAGTACGCAGATTCGAAGTATAGTACATTAACCAATCCATCTCTCATCTTCGCCAGTAATACAGACAAACAATGAAACGGACACACAATTGTCTACCTCACGTAGGAAATTCGGGATCGGTACAAAAATCAGTTTTTATTCTTATATATTTATACTTTACTCGTATATGTCCCTGTTAATCAGTACTCACCAACGTTTACAGAACTGTATTTTAAAGCTAATATAATGTCTAAGTCTAACTTATGTCGATATCGCTGTAAAGTAATAAAACCATATTTTGCACTAAAAGTAGGAAAAACTCGCTTGGGCAAGGCCGTTTCGTAAGAAATGATATAATATACAAATAGCCATGGCATAACAATGCACTTCGTGACTTATTATCTCTCGGCACGCTTGTGACGTAGATACGTAAATATTTGCAGATCCTAATTTTGAAAAAGTTTACATAAGAGAATTAATAGCCATAATTATGCCATGTATATTGAAAGGGTGGTAGGTAAATATAGAAGTAATGTCCACAGATAAAAAAGCCGTTAAGTTTAATCGCGTTTTGGTTTCAGTCTGTGATTTTCGAATATTAAAAAAAAATTAGTCGTCGCATCTTGTTTAGATGTTACATAACTGGGGGGGGGGGGTTCACCTTCCAACAAGTAAACTCCATGTATCATAAAATTAATATAGTAACCATTGTCTCAAATTTATACGACAAAGGAGATTTAGTGAGTTACTTTATAATGGACATGTTTAAAATACTCCAAGTTAGGTAATAGGTAATAATTATGATGCTATTATTCCACACGGACGAAGTCGCGGGCACAGCCTAGTACTAGGCAACGGTTGCCAGGTCAGCTAGTTTCTTATAAACTTTAACAGCTTAAAACGCGGATTTAAAATTTTTTTTTAACTTCGGATCGACGTTTCGGATGCTTTTCAGCAACCGTGGTCACGGGGGGTTTTAAACCGTTAAAGCGTTTTAAATGTGTACTACTCGCGTAAACTACAGACAGTATTTAGTTTATAAGCCCAACTGTTAATGAAGTTATGAATCTTATATCGTGTGGTCTATTATTGGAATCCAATGATCGATTCGTTACACAATGAATCACGGCTAACCGGATAAAATCGATTTTTAGAAATCAATTAAGCACGCTGTATTGTAGTTATTAATTATCATTTTATCGGTTTTAATGTTGTTATTGAACTTATTGCGTCACGTTACTACCATACTACATTTAAATAAACACTACAGACAAAGTTAAATCCTAAAGTTCAGATCACTACATAGTATAAAACAAAGTCGCGTTTTTGTCCCTAACTACGCTTAATCTTTAGTTATAAAGTTTTTTTTTTAAATTAATAATGTCATTCAAAATAAGGTTTTTATATTCAACGTTCACAGTTTTACTGTAGTGTATTTAGTATCAGGATTGCACCCGAGCGAAACCGGGCGGGTCGCTAGTAGTTTACAAAATTATTGAAAACAAGGATGAGACATCAAGAACTGCAAGTAACTTATAATACCAACTTCCCCAGCTTGTTACATATAAATTCAAAGTATTCTTCAAATTGTATAATTGTTATTATCAGCGCTATTGATCTATTAACTTAAAACCTCTTATCTTCGAATATTTAAATATAAGTGAATTTGTTCTTTTTGAAGTTATATCTTGTTTTGAGAGGGTTTTATTGTCTTGTTTCGTAACTAACGCGTTACGAAACAAGACAATAAAACAATGCAACATGTGCAACATTGATTAATCCCGGGACACTTACTATTTTGTTATATAAATTGTCGATATTCAAGTGCACGTTTGAACAAACAATTTTGTGAACATAAAATTTTAACGATACACTATAGTTTGCGGAAAAGCCTTATATGTTCTTGTTAATTGCAAAACAAATAAGTTTATGTCGAATACACGATATACGACACTGCACGAAGCGATGTAAAAATATTGACCATTTTGAGCTGTCATTAAAATTGATATGAGGCAATTACTATTGTTAAAAATTATACTGCAAATACCGAGCATCCGAAACGTAGGGCCTTAAAATAAGTCTAACTAATATATATCGCGTTTTAAACAGTTCTAGTGTTTTATTTAAATGTGTACTACTAGCTTAAACTAGAGCCAATATCATTTATTAATTAAGTTGGAAATATCAATTAATTTATTGGTATCGCTCAAACGAATGCAAAAAGTCCCCTTTATTGCCTGGTCGCTACGACGCATTATTTTTCGTCTGTCGTTATAATTTTATATTCATAACAATTAACAATGACTAATAGATTCTCACAGTCAATTACTCTAATAATAACTATCCATACGTACGTTATTAAAGCATTGTTAGGCAAAACATATTTATTATTCGGACCACGGATTCTGAATTTATTGTTTTAAAATTATTCGTACGATTATCGGCCGAAGAGTGAATAATGATTCTTGACGTCATCTTCTCTTTATTTGGATAAACGTCGAAACCAGGAAGTGTGGGTTCTTAAGATAGAGTATGTAAATGCTATTCGGCTTGAAGTATTTTTACGTTTTAGGTATTGTTTGGTTAGGCACTGCGGACAATAGAGTTATAATAATGTAAGTCGCGTTTATCAGTTTTCACGTGACTGTTTCTAGTGTTTTAAAATAACAATTTTTGGTGGGCTTGTTGGTGTAATCGTGGAACGGGTCCTGGCTTCGACCACTAGGTCCAAAATTTTTCTAATCGATTTATAATTTTCCTGAAACATGTTGGGTGGTAGAAATATAGAAATTCCGTCCGGGTCACAAACCATCGTCCACAGCTAAAAAAGCAGTTAAGCCTAATCGCGTTTCGGTTTCAGAAAATGGCGTTCTAAATATCCAAAGCTAAAATAGGACGGCAGCGTCTTGTTGAGATATATGGCTGTGATATCTCATCTTCAATCGAGTTAACCTCATGCGTGTCTGTTCTCTTCTATCTAAAAAAACTCATTTTATTTGCTATCATAATGGTTTTACAAAAGAAGTAACAAATTTCCATTTTAGTAATAAACAATATAATTTAAAAATTCTTAAGTGAAAGGTGTGCGTAATTAACTGTTTTACATCGTCACCGTCTCGTTTACGTATTTAAATGACAAAAACAAAATATAGAACGCCTAAAGTGAGACATCTTATTTGAAAGTAGAATTATTCCGCGTATAAATAAAACACTTTAAC